GTTTCAGAAGGGCAGAAAGCTGCCATCGTGTCTCAATGAACTAGGTGGGGTCAGATTTGTGGTTCATCAAACTGCTCGCACCACCGGATATTTATGTCGAGGTTGGAAGTACAGTTGGTTTATAAAGTGGACTACTGACAAGGTCGCTGAAAACTCTTCGACAGCCCACGACCGGTTTTGCCCTTCTTGGGGCTCATCAGGTAGGCGCGGTCCCCGAGTTTCCGTCAACTTTATGCTTTACTTGAACCCAAATCGAACTGTTTTCGAGAAATACACTAATTTTCAAATCAATCTGGTTTTCACGAGAGACTCAACTGAATCTCTCGTTTATGACATTCTACAACTGAATGTGCTTCACACAGGCCGCCTCATGATTCAGTTGGCACGATATTCGAGATATCGCAGTATATTTTCATAAAGGAGACTACTCACAAGGTTGCTGAAAACTCTTCGACAGCCCACGACCGGTAGAATATCATAAACGAGAGATTCAGTTGAGTCTCTCGTGGAAACAAAATTGATTTGCAAATTAGTGTATTTCTCGAATACAGTTGGTTTACTTTTTTCCGATTCACACATGCCTGAACCATCGGAAGATTATGTAGTGGAAATGCCAATCACTCTACCAACAGCTCCCAGGCATTATTTGTCGATATCGTACTGAGTAAACTGAACACTATCCTGAAACCAGAGGAAATGAAGGTTAGGCTAACTACTACTCACTGTCATCATTTTCGGGATCCTTAGAATTTGTATTCATGTCGCTCACAACTGAACAGTGCATCCCCTGTTCGCGTGTAATAATTCCGCCGGACTGGCCCCAAACGGAGAACATTGGGCACGAGTACTGCGCTCAGCTGGGGACACCTGTCATCAGAAAGCCTTGATTGCACCAGCACTTGGATTCCGACCATGTGACGAGTGCAATACCATTACTGCACCAGTGTAGACTGGATGCCACCGAGCCATCGCGTCTGAGCAGCTGAACATGCACACGCGTGACCGGTAGGCTTGGTGGGCCCAACAGCCCGAGCAACCATCCATCGGTTGTTTTCGTTGTACCTATCACTGAGTCGCAAAATTCGTGTCGATTGCCATCTTTTCTAATATGAACTTATCGGGATACTGGAGTCCGAATGGGAGAGACAATTCAGATAAGGGTGATGTGGGTAAGAATTGCTCCAATCATAAAAGTGCTTTCAACTGATAGTCGATTGAAGCTATTAGGGAGATAAAGAGTGTCCTCGCCCCGATATGACCGGGAGGTTCTGACAACCAAATGATGTAATGGTGCAACCAGAATAATTGCTGCGTTCCTTTACAGAGTTTCGGGCAAGCCACGCATATCGTTTAAGCCCACACATTTTTTCAATTCAACTATGATAATTCTAATGCGTCCAGAGTGTGTTGACGGAATAATGGCAAGACACACAACTCGTATGCCAGACGACCGGAGATCAACTCCTGTTACAGTCAAGGTTATGCACTGCTGACGTTAACATTTGATTGAAAAGCTCCAAATGTCTTGCGTTCCCCCTTGTGTGCATTCACAAAAGTAAGTGCACGGAACCAGGAAGAGAACTTAATACACTACTCATACGGTTTTGAAAATTCGTCGACAGATCACGACCGGTTTCGCCTTTCTTGGGGCTCATCAGGTAAGCACGGTCCCTGAGTTTCCTTCAACCTTGTGTTCTACTTGAACTCAAATTCTACGAAATCAGTGAAATACGCTCATTTGCAGACAAATTTGGTTCTGCGGAAGACTCACTTGGAACCTAGCTGATTCTCTCGTTTATGCTGCTTTCAAGGAACAGGACTGTCTAAATGAAGGGGACATAGATGTACATAACGGCCTGACGACTTTCTTCGTTCAGATCTCCCTCCTTGCCTTTGTGCCTCAATGATTTGAACGAAACGCCATATTCCGTTCCACGCAAGTCTGTCATGATCCACCAGCTATGCACAGGATTTCAGTAACTCGCATACGCCTGGCCAACTAACCCTATTCACGAACTGAACTGGTACAGATCCGAGTGCTGACCTGGATTATATCAATGGAACTCAGCGCCATCTGCAGGAACTATTAGACTTAAACGAGCTGACCAAAATGATGGATTTATCATGTATTAAAACCTCTAGCGTTGAGCTGAAGTACAGAGATGCTATCCTTTTTTGAACTAAGCAGGTCAGGACAAAACTATTTGCCGCACCATATCTTCAAGAAGGTCTTCACGCGGGACGAAAGCTTAGCTCATGGTAGAGGTTTAGTTTATTATCTTTACTTAAGCAACCGAATCACTTAAGGAGAATTGGACTGGTGTTCAAAGAGCTGTCAACACCATCATATAGTCCTCGTAGGTTACTCTATCCAATGACCGAGCTATATCTGTGATACACCCAAGACTACTATTGATGTTCAGACGGGTCGACTGGGACTGGTTTTGGTATTTTTGGAACTCACTTTGAGAAAGTAATTACATAGGTTCAAGAAAATCCACACTACTTTCTAATAATTCATGGATATGTTTGGATAGGAGGAGGCTGCCATAGAAGTGCACTGTTCTAATTCTTTGAGTCGGAGACAATAGGTTCTTTCGTTTTCGAATGAACGCAGAAATCACCTACTTGGATCAATTTGATCTCTGTGTCTCATTGGTACATATGTGAAAGGTAGAAACAAGTAAGCGAAAAGGGCAAATCACTGATGTGTTCTCTACAAATTTCCTACTGATTGGCATTGTAACCATGGATGTGCCTCCCCGAATGTTCGGAGATGAACAACCGTTAGGCCGCTTGGGGTGACTTGCTATTTCTACCGCTTGAGCATACTTTGTTTTTGCGACTGCTATTTCTACCGCTTGAGCATACTTTGGAATTCGACTGCAATGAAAATAGTGGGATCGACTCTTTTCTGCCTCTTCTGGTCATTTGCAGCTGGGATAACCATTAACCCCAGTGAGGTAGTGGATATTCCCAGAACAGAATGAATAAAATAAGCACATCGTACCCATAGTTCCTGACTGAATTGCATATTCACAAACATCTACGCATTGATCATTTATGAATAAGTAGTTCATTGTAGTTTCTTAAGTTCTATCAACATTTCGCAGTCTTTAACCATGAGTAGCTCAATGAGTACCCAATGATTCAGCGGTCCTTGAAAATTTTTTGTGCCTATACCATATGGGTACTTAATTCTAACCAACGTGAAGTAACTCCGTTTACCTCTTGATGGTGACCTAATCACGTTTTCGATCTTTTTTTATGCCCATCTGACCTCATTCCTCGGAGTATATTATCACGAAATAACCAGACTAATTGGTCGGCTTTTAATGGTCTTAGAACCACATTTAGCACATATTTCTTGGTTACATTGCCACTTACTAGCCACTTCCACGTAAACTAGTTGCCGTTTATCCATTTTCTGCTATTAGCCCTGAGTTGTTCATTGAGTAACCAGTCAACAAGGGAACACGTTGTATGAAGTGCACGAGTGGAGAACAATGACCGTATACCTGCTCAAATGCAGACTACTGGTTCATCTACCAACCGGAATATCATTGGAATTACCTTGGCGATTTGTGAGATGTCTAGTGCTTGTGATTCTTAGCAAGAACGAATCCGGTGTGTAGTGCTTCTTAGAACTGAGTATATTGATTTGGCTCACAGAATAAAGTCTAGCTATAGACGTGAAAATCTTACGAGCTATTGATGAATAACCAAACAAGAGGATCCGGTCACATAAAATCGGCGTATCCATCATCAGGATATCTGGTGGTACATCATTTTGAGCAACTCTGATAACGCGAAAGTTGGTTTTGCGCGTGCACCTTGAACTGAAATACATCCAGAAATACGTTAATGGTGTGGTAACTCTGTGACAACCCACAGATGGGGCAGACTGTACCACGTTGACAAAGGTGTTTGCGTACATTACGATACACGGCATTCGCAATAGAGGAAAAATAAACAGGCCCGGTCTGGAGTAACAAATTTCTCGGGTAGTGACGGATGCCAGAACGTTCAACTATAACGAGTCTGCGCCCGAGTGTACGATGATTAAATACATGGCAGTTTGCACACTCAATTATTACCTGAGGAGGCCGGCGAATAGGAGATAAAACGCTCAGCGGAGTCACAAGGGCGACATGTGACGGCGTGTCCGCGTGCGTCTGAGCGGCACGCCAATAGCAATTTAGTCCACTTAGCCGTATACCATAAGTAGTATGTTATGCGTCCTCAATTGTGCGTTTTGCGCGCTTGTCGCGCAACGCATGGACGAGGCCAATGAGAAAGGCGATCGCGAGTTTTGCACGTCTGCCACAGGCTGATTCACGCTCGACGGGAGGGCCCAGTGAGAGGGCGTAAAGCAGTTGGCCTGAGAATCAATAGGCTGTTTTTGTCTCAGATGTTCAAACGACCTGAGAGTTTTTATGTTATTTTGCCTTGTATTGTTAACAAATTTCACTTATTTTTATATATTCGTAAATAATTTGTAAAGTTACTGACGATTATGTTAAAAAATAATAACTTACTCATGAATTCAAGCGAAGAATTGGTAAAAACGTCTCTCATATGATTGAAAGTTTGCTAAACGAACGACACGATTACTCAACTGGTTTAATCACTAAACCACCTTCACGTCTTGCGCTACCCTTCAAACCCCGTCAAGTGTGTGCAAAATAAAGTTTACTCTTCATTTTGGCTAAATCTTCGTTTCTTTTCTAATATTTTTCAATTATTTACATTAATTATTATGTTTTTGCTTGTAATCATGCATTACTTTTAGTACATCTGCGTCAAGTTTTTGGTGTGCACTACAAAACTTTTAGTATGTCCATATAGATTAGCATGCAAGCTATCGGGACAGCGAGAGCTGTTCGTTAAATGGCATTGTGATGCGCCCGCAGTCCTGAACTGACGTATGGGCTGCGCAGCCGTTTATAGCTCTGGTCCTTTGCCTTTCAGACGCCCTACGAAAGCCGTTAGCGCGCATACGACAGGGTCATTGGATCAAAAATGAGCGCGTGATTTGAGACTGCATCCCGTTTACCGTTTTAGAACGCGGCTTTCACTCTTGCTACACCCGTGTGCTGTGTTCGCCTATTTTCTGATGGATATTTTCCGTTCACAGTTAGTGGATATATATTATGGAGTATTCTGCACCAAATATGAGTACCGGGCAGGCCACTTACTCCTCTCAGCAAGAACAACCCCGAATCTCCTCCACGTGTAACACGCAACCACCAACGACTGCTTTTGCTGGCACGGAACCTAGTTCACATCACCGTGCATATGCATCATATTCACCATACCACCCTCAACACGAGTTCAGTGGTTCTCAGGGCTCTCACTCTGGCAACAGTCCCCCAAGTTATCCCCAGCCATATCCTCCGGAGAGTCATGGACCCAGTTTGACGTTGAACCAACTCCTTCAGCAAGGGAGTACACCTAGCGGATATCAAATGCGGCCGCATAGTGGAGTACCAGCACCGTCACCCTACCGTCCCTATGAGCATTTTCCTTACGGATATAAACCGAGCACGCCTAGCGGTATGGCGGATCGTCCTCAGGTATTTCTCATAGTTCTCTACAGTTTGAAAGTCCGTCTCTGTTTCTTTGTTCACCTTGTGAAACCGTTATATGTATTGGGGTGAAATATGCTCAAGCTATCGAGATCAATATGGCCATCGGTGTTACGGATGTTCAAGTCGAACATTTTGACACGTTTTTCAAGTGTCAGAGCTGTAGAAGGATGTCTCTTTACAAACCCTTGGTTTGAGAGAGCAAAGGGTTTACTTTGTATTACCGAAAGGTTATTCCTCCGCTTTCTTTTCCGGCTGACTGACAAGTGTTCTGCTTTTACTCCCAGTTGTATATGGAAGCAGGAGTGTGATGAGTCCTTCTGATGTTCATCTGACATAGGTTACTGTGCCGATGGGTACCCGGGCAGACGCAGGCATCTTAATATTCGCAGTTGTGTCAGTGTTTGATCTAACCTCGGTTTAAAGTCTGGGAACAGAGCTTTAATTTCTTCAACTGCAAGCGCGTGCCTCATTTTGGTTACAGGTTGTGATAGCCGATACACGTAGGATGAATTATCTGCTTCCAGCTACAGCACTCATGGCGTCTGAAGAGCTGACGTTCTGGCTGTTACAAACTTCGTAGTGGGATCTTGTTGAATCGCTCACGTCACGCCTGATTATGTGGTTAGACGTGTATTGAAAACTGCTGCGATAAAACGAACTAAATTGTACTAACTTGTCAATACTCATTTAGTAGAACAATCTGCATTGAAAGTATAGTTTGTTGGTCCTCAGCCGCGTGGATCTCATGCCATAGTTTTTTGTCTTTGGCAGACAGCACGCAGCTTGAATCGGCGTACATAAGGCACAGGATGAGTGGAAACAGATCCAGCAAATCCATCGTCATCAAAGTTCGCAACATCGTTTTTGGCCTTGATACCTCACTGCCACTGCACCGCAAAGTTTATTTGAAGTCAGTGAATTCGGAATGTACTGATGAGATGGATTTTTGGTGAATTAAACGGCGCTTCACTCAGAGAATGCATCCACCCCTGCAAGCCAAGGTGACTGGGCTATTTGCTGGGTTATCACCTCACGAGAGGGTGCTGTTTCCTAGACCTAGATACGAGTTACGGAAACTTACTTACAGAAAGGAATCGAGGGTGTGACGAAGGGGGAAAAGAAAAGAAAGAAAGGAAGCGTTCAGCTGTAGCACCCTTCCGGTGCCTAACTGCCATGCCACCCGAAGGAAGCACGAGGGTTAGGATACTGCCAGGTTGCCCAAGCCTAGATAGGGGAAGTCGAGTGGCGGAGGTCGGATTCGAACCACGGACCTTCCGGTCAGTAAATTCGCGCTCTAACCACTTGGGCCATCTCGCCCCATCCAGGATGGGGTCCACGTAACCACTGTACCTGGCTGGAGATGCAGCGATAAGGTGATTAACCGACTTCAAGTGGCATGCTTCCCGTCCATGCTTCCCGTTTCTATCCAGATTTTCTGACTGAGTGTTGGATGTGTAGATACCTCGGATTTTTGTGATAGGTTAGCCCGAGATGCAATCGCCATCATTATCCTTGACGGCAACATCAGATAGTGCTTCATTCCTTTGCAACCATTTCAATCTATTTGAATAAACCCTTGTGATGGAAAGAGGAAAGATACGAAGGGTTTAGGTTTAGCTTGCAAAAAGCATTCGAGGTGCCTACATCTCCAACACTCACTCCAGTAATCTGGATAGAAACTGACAGCACGAACGCTACGCGCCGATTAGCAACCATTTCATGTAGTGTCTTCGACCAGGCGCAATTAATGGAGTTAGGGGGACCCCGTCCTGAAGTAGAGACCACACAGTCAACACAAAAACTCTCTGCAATCCTCCGCATCCTTCTGCCAACCCACTTATCAACCTTACAGTTTGCACCATTTTGAAGGAGGCGCGGAGGACAGTACTTGCCTCCGTGGACGATGACTTGGCATGTGTGACACAACCGAGCCATCGTAGTTGGTGGTGCTGAGCGTTTTTTTCGACTGAAGTGCGAATTAACTGTTTTCCAGTTACCTAGTTGCGAATTCGTCGACGCCTTCCGACACCAGTGGAACTTTTAAGGCATCAGTTACAAAAATCTGATCGATCGCAACGATATATTTTGCAGGAGGGTCTTCAGACAGTGCAGATCGACGGACCGCAACGATATATTTTGCAGGAGGGTCTTCCTGATCCTGGTTTTCAAATAGCTGCCGATGAAGGCCTTGTCGACATGGAATATGCAGACGACATCGTTCTCGTCTTCAAAGAGAAGGAGAATGCGCAAGTATTTTTGGATGAATCGACCCAATTTATCCCGTTTTTGGTATACACTTTGCACTCACAAGGTGTAGAGTCGTGCTCGTGGACATGCAGTCACTGAACACGCCACTTGCAATTTAGGGAGAGGCACTCGAAGTTGTGGAGCGTTTTACGCGTCTTGGAAGTTGTATTAGTCCTGATTGTATGTAACAAATGAGGTCAATGCACGAATCTGCAAGGCTTGGGTCACATTAGCTGATTTGAGACACCAATGGCCCCTGAATCTCAATGGTCGTATGTATCAGGTTACATTGCGGACTATTTTGTATGGCTCTGAGAACCGGCCTGTTCGAACAGCGGAAGTGAGACGTCAGGTTTTTGACAATCATTATCTCAGAACTATAGCTCGTGTGAGTTGGTATCGGGGAATCCGTAACGAGGAAATTAGAAGGCGAGTTTTCGGTTTTGTAAAGGGTACTTCCATTGAAGAATGTGTCCAGCACCAGAAACTGAGTCGGTTGGGATATGTGTTGCGTATGCCGAACCATCATCTGCTGAGTAGAGTGGTTATCCATAGCTAGTTCGGGATGGTGACCAACCATTGGCCTGGCAGCAGGTTATGAAGGCGATTACGAAACGTTTAGGTGCTGGTTAGGACATGTACTCTGCATGCCAGAAGACAGTCTGCCTCGCAGGGCTCTTTGCGCCCGGCCTTGTGCTGATTGAAGCAGACCGAGAGATGGACAGTTATGACCTGGCAACGAAGTATGAAAACACTAACCAGTGAGCTTAGTCGGGTCGGCAACGGCCGCGTTCAGGGATGGGGACTCCGGGACTCAACTCACTAATGGTTGATGATACTGATAGAAATGGCTCAATCGCGCAGTCAGCGGTGCTCATGCATCAAGTCTTTCGCCTTCAATGCGTAACCATCCAACTCCTGAAATCACTGAACATGCGATCGCCTCCAAGGATTGGCCGTATTTCCCATACTCCCTTTTTCAGGTGGTCAAAAGTGCAGTACCTGGAACCAGTGTGACTATGGTACACAATTTATAGCTGATAGACTGATTGATTGATTGACCACACTTACTGGGAGCCCCTTTTTGAAAATGGGTACTGTTACCCGCACTATCCAGTAGTGAGTGTGTTTTTCACAAATGTAGGTAAACAGATCAGACAACTGCTGACTGACGATTTCCCCCCCATCTTTGAACAATGCGGGTAGGAAGTCATGCGGATCAGAAACCCGGTGCTGCCTGTGAGAACATACGTAGTCGTACACCTCCGAGGCCGTAGGCGGTTCCGCGTTCATCGTCCAGGATTCTACATCGACTATGGGCTCCAGAGGAGTAGGAGCTGGTGGCCACGATAGCTTTTGTTCGAAGTATTTAGCCCACCGGTCGAGGCGTTCTTTATTCAAGATGGTCACCCCCCATGATCTTTTCACTCACAGGTGGTTTCCGGGAGCCGGTTACTCAGATCGATTGAAATGATCTTCGGGCATTCCCGGCTTTCTGGGCCTCGTCCACCTCCTTGGCTCGCCTCGTCGGCTCGCATACTTACTTTCACTGGGCGTTTAATAGTTCTTCGCGTGGAGTTGTGTTCGGGGGCGGCTAGATATCCCTCCGAGATTTAGGCAGTACCACTGTTTGCTATCCAGTGCTTGAGTGAGCTTGGTAGCGCTGTGCCGCAGGCAAAACTCCCATCGTTGTGCAAAGAGGTGGCGATCTCGTCTTAGTATGAATTCTCATCTGTTGGTGGAGCATTTGGAAGATACTTTATAGGACAATTCTGGTAAATTCGTCTAACAGCCGGATCTACCAGGCTCTCGGTTACCAGGTGATTTTGCCGCGCCTCAAGTGGACCTGGAAAACGAAGGCAAAAGCGGCTCCGGACGAGTGGGTGGTCAGAATCCATAAATATAATCCAAAAGGTGCGCCATCGGTAGCTGATGGCAATGCGATCAGTTTGAGTTCGTGACTTCTGGAGGAAACCATGTGGCCAGATGACTTAGGCTATCTAGAGAGTTAGTAGTGCATAAAAACAGCCTACGGTCACCACACACCTGAAGCAATCGTTCACTATTGTCCGCTTGTACTGAGTCAAATTCATGTCGACTACCTAGTTGAGTCTCAGATGCGCTAAGCCTGCCCATTTGTGCATTCAAATCTCCGGCTAAACCACGACATCAGCTTTCAGCCCGCCATAACAAGGCGGTCAGTGCGTCATAAAACTTGTCAGAGCTAATCAGTTGAAGCGTAAGCAGACATGAAAAAAATAGACATCCATCAGCTCCCCCTTGTGAGACTCCTTCACACACGTTACTAGACGAACTGGCCTAGATGTGACTATCAACAGGTATCTGGTCAAAAAAGGGATCCCTCCAACCGGTGACTTAGGACAATACAGACCCCTACACATTCTTCCGCAGCACTCCATTGGCACGCAGCCGGAGGCGAGTGGAGAGTGATGGGGCGGTAGCTCAACTAGTGTTCTTGCATCTTGAATTCTTATTCCTAGGGCGCAGCACAAATCAGTGCCAAGCGAGTCCAGTGTAAGAGCAAGAAAAGGTTGTTGACCTTGTTTCAGAGTGCGAACATTGAAGGCGGCCAGATAGGCTGGGCGTCGAGGCTTGCATTTTGAGATCGAGATGCCTGAGAATGTTGGCGCCGAATCACGCGTAAAATTCGGCTGCAAAACCGATGTTAGATGAACGGAGTCATCAGTCTTAAGTGCTGGGCCCACAGTGTTCGGCTGTAGCACCCTTCCGGTGCCTAGCTACCATGCTACTTGCAGGAAGCACGGGGTTTGGGATACTGCCAGGTTGCCCAAGCCTAGACAGGGAAAGTCGAGAGGCCGAGGCCGGGTTCGAACAACGGAACCACCGATCAGTAAATTTGTGCGTTAACCACTTGAGCCATCCCGCAGTCAATGTGCAATTAATGGTTGTACGTGGGCTGGGATACTGTTAGGGCGCTTACGCCTAGACGAGAACGATTCGGGTTCTCAACCAAAGCCCTAGGTTCCAAAACTGACCGCAAGGTAGCGTTTTTTTGACGGGAAATTCTAGTACATTACCACTTTTACGGACTGTTGAGCTAAATTTACGCACACAACGCTCGTTTGTAAGGTTCGTAGAGGGTGGATATGCTGCTCTGATGTCTCCTAAGCAATCTTAGTGTAAGCTCTGTAGACCGCTTACAGCGATCAGGCAAGATTTTCTGGAATCGGATAGGCTGTGGGTTGAGCCACCCTATTCCATTCCTTTTCAACTTCGTGATCGATGAAATAATGAGACGAACGCTGTAGGGTCTTCAAAACCTGGTGTTCAAATAGCCTGTGAAGAAAACCTTGTCGATCTGGAATATGCAGACGATATCGTTCTCATGTTCGAGGAGGAGGAGAAGGCGCAAGTATTCTTGGATGAACGGACCAAAGTCATCCCGTCCTTTGGTATGCACTTTGCACCTACAAAGTGTAAGGCTATGCTCGTGGACATGCAGTCACTGAACACGCCACTTACGATCCAGGGAGAGGTACTGGAAGTTGTGGAGCGTTTTACGTATCTTGGAAGTTGTATTAGTTCTGATTGTAGTGTGACAGATGAGGTGAACGCACGAATCTGCAGGGCTCGGCCCGCTTTTGCTAACTTGCGACACCTATGGCGTCAGATTGGTTTATCCCTAAATCTGATGGGACGTATGTATCAAGCTACAGTACGGGCTGTTTTGTTGTATGGCCGTGAGACTTGGCCTATTCGAGAAGCGGAACTGAGGCGTCTTCAGGTGTTCGACAATCGTTGTCTCAGAACCATGGCTCGTGTGAGTTGGTGTCGGCGAATCCGTAATGCGGCAGTTAGAAAGCGCGTTTTCGGTTGTTTAGCGGGTACTTTCATTGAAGAATGTGTCCAGCACCAGAAGCTGAGTCGGTTGGGACATGTGCTGCGTATGCCGAACCATCGTTTGCCGAAGAAAGTGCTGTTTTCCATGTCCAATTTAGAGTGGCTTAAAAAGAGAGGTATCCAACCCTTGACTTGGCAGACGAGTATGAATGAGATCATGAAACTCTTGGGTGTTGTCGGTGCTACTGGCCTTCCAGGAGTGGGACCGCGTGATCCTCACTGTGCCTGGTTGGGGACACTACAAGTTATGGCTGCCAACCGATGTCAGTGGCGTTCTTGTCAGTTTCTATCCAGATCGCCTGAGTGAGTATCTGGAGGTATAGGCATCTAGGAGTGATTGTGGTAAGCTAGCTCCAAGTCCCTTCCTCGTCCACCTTTACTCTTTTCTTTGCAATAAGGCTTTCAAATCAATCATGGTTGTACGGCAGTGAATCATCGGTGTTGAACACGGATGTCATGCTTGCGATGATGATGATGAGCCACCCAAATAACGAAACTCAGTGTGAACCAAATATGGTCCCCCACCGGTCAACGGATTGATCTTGACACAATGCAACTCCATCGCACAACAGAAAAAAAATAAGCCTGGCGGTTTAAGATGCACTCTACCGCGATTGGTTCTGTGCCATGTTGTAGGATTTTCTTCCGCGTGCAAGGAGTTTTACTTGATGCAAAACAGGATAGAATGGTATCCTAGGTATTCACATCAGTATAAGAGCTAGCTAATATGTTTCAGAAGGTACTGCATTCAAGAAGAGCTATACACTTTTATTATGCTTGTGAAGGATAGCATTCTGTGTAGCCCTTGATGTTACTCACGGAAACGGGAAAATACTGGGGAGCGCTTATCTTGTGGGTCAAAAGATCCTACCTACTTTGGGACGGTGTGCACTCGCACACACACACCTGTAACACCAGGTGGTAAACAGCTTACATTATCATTCAGCAGCACCGTTCAGTTCATAGGAGCCATGTGTGGCTAGCCGCCCTAAGCCTGTTGATTAGTTTGTCTGGAAGTCGATACCGACCAGCTGCTGTGACCCTGTCACGTACATTTAAACATAGGGATACTCACTATTGACAGTCGCTACCACGAGTAGACAGGAAAAGGCAGTGTTGCATCCACCACGGACAACTGGATTATGCTCGGGCCCGTGAAGCTGTTTGACTGGCCAACTTGCAGTTTTGATATTTATCCGATTGTTACCTCATGGGGTTCAGTCGTACAGCGGTTGTACGGAGGCGCGAGCGTCTGTGACACATTTATTGAAGCACTTCAGTCAAAATATCGTTAACATACTCAATAAGAGTCTAAGAAGTGAATCATGAAGGTCTCGTAATGGTATCCAGAAAACAATATTCCTTCCCCCCCTCGACGATACAGCTGGGCCTCACTGTTCACTTTTTCGTATTTTTGCGTCAGTCGATTGAAGTACTATTCTCGTTGACTGGGTTCACTTTCTGACGGTATCTTTTACTTGCTACCCGAAAACCATTCAATCCTATCTACTAGGAGTGAATTTGTGATGAAAAATTGAATGGTCGCATACATCGTGTGCGTCGGCTACTCGAAGCAAGGATCAAAAGATAAAATGCCCTTTGAGGGAGGAAGTCTCCGAGTGATAAACAACGCTTCCCACTTCCGATCGTTTCTGGTCCGAAAGAGTTAGAACACTCACAAATCGAGCCGTAGAACAAAGCACGGTTCACTTAAGAATGCCCGAAGTGCAAAACTGAAACAAGTGTAAATATTGCAATTTCAGTAGCAAATCAATGCTTTTTCTGCTAAAAGGCTGAACTCGGGCTCTTGCGGGTGCTACAAACAACGATTTGTTCATAAACTGTTTCTGAACCAATATAGTGAAGCAGTCGCGTAGATTATTCAAGCTGAAGTTCCATTGGGTTGTTAGGCATCCAAATGTGCATGCTGGGTCTGTGGACTGACGCCCAAGCAGACACTTCCGTCTGCCTCTGTGATGATGTTTCTTAGTTAATCGACAGGGGCAAACAGGTTCTTACTGTCCACGCAAGATGAGCATACTGTGGTTGGCGCATCACAATTCCGACTCTCACAAGTAGGTCATACTTTGATGGGCTGTCATATCTTTGCCGGCTAAAAATTCCGGAGACACCTAGGCTGTCAGTGAAATACCACTTGTCGAATGGCAAGTATGCTAGAACATTCGCTTGTATAATTCGTAGCTGTGCACGAAAGTTGAGGGCATCGATTAGAGTCATTTTCAGTCTGTTATAGGAAAATTGCTTGTTTTTAGCGTCAGACATAATTCTCCGCAGAGTTCCACTAAGACGTCCCACCTGATCGTTAGACCGTTGTTTCCGTTGGAAGGTAAGATTCTTGGCCACTTTTTTGTCGCGGGGAAAGCTTGGTGAACTTGCTTTTTTCTTGAGTTTGTCGAACAAAGTGTGAGCGTTTTCCAGAATGGGCTATATCTTGTTATCTTATCTGCTGGGTAACATGTCTTGTCAGAGAATGAGAAGATTCACTGTGAATGATGAGCGAACATCCCCACTATGTTGTGTTCAGCGAATAGTTTGCATTCGCTTGATATTCGTTTGATATTTCCGTTAGCGAACTGGAAGCCCAGAAGACAAATTTCACTAGAGGTTGTATTGCATTCACATCGTGGTATGAAATTCCGTATTTCTAAGCTGTTTTGAGAGATAGCTCAAGGTTATGGCCATGTTTATGTTTGATTTTTACGAAACTTGTGACGTTATCTACGTACGCGAATACATCAGCAGCATTTATCTTTCCAATACAATGATTTATTGTACGTTGAAAACAGGCAACGCCATTCGCTACGCCAAACGGAATGCGGCACAAAGGACAAGGCTTCCACCGGCCTGTCATACTGTGCCATGAAAGTTTGGTAATTCAGAGAAAGAAATTGGTGGGATATGTGGTGTGGGAGCTGCATCCAGCCCCAGGCCAGAGTAGGCTTTGCAGAACTGGCTTCCTCTGAACAGTCGTCTCTGCGCTGCTCTGTTATCAAACTAAGTGGCAATTGACATAAAAACCGGAGCCTGTTTGTTGTGCCAGCTTATGCCCAAACGGACCACTGTTTCAACGCTAAGAATACCGCGACTTACCCGGACCGATTCACCAACCAAGAAGTAATGACAGTTTCATCCTTGCGAGTGATATGAAAGCTTGGAGCTGAGCTTTTCGGAATCATATCTGGATGGTCGATTTGCTGTCAATCCTCGTCCAACAATCAACGGAAAGATGTTCGCCCAGTTGTGTGCTAACGATAGGCCCTTTCTGGTCAGCACGAATCCTCAGCCCAGACGTTCACATTATGTAATAAATCAACTTTGGATCCAGTTAGATCCCGTTACTGTCAGCAGCCGAGTGAGAGACACGATTCAAGAGTGCCGCACACAACTTGACAAGTCGCTTGTCAGTTCGATTTCTTTCAGATCCCCGCAAGTCAGAAAGAAACGCGCTAATCCACCGTCTACGAAACATCGTAGCTCAGCGGTATTAACCTGAACTGTCTCACCTACTCTCTACGACAGGACACAGTACTGATAATAAGCATGTGGATGAAGTATGGTAGCACTCAAGAAGGGCTATTTTGGTGACGTTCAGAGCTGTCTGCCATCTTCCCTGATATGACCGAATGACCACTCGTGATGGCCTGTGGCAAGCCATCTTGTGAATCCGCCACATCAAGTGGAGTCAGACAAGGCTTCTCTCTCACCTATTCTCTCAAAATTCGTCATCGATATGACCATGGAAGATTCCCTCGAGGCCTCTAATGCCCAGGGCGTTCGCTCCGAGCACGCAGACGGCATAGCTCTCTTCGGGTCTGACGCACGCGGAAATGCAAACGGTCATAAATATCTAAGGGTTTTACATCACGGCTTATGTGCGCCTCACATGTGTAAGGTGTAGCATTGCTAAACCCGAACCCGAAACTCATGCTTGCTAGTGGACTGACTGAGGTAGTACACAAAATTGTCCATCAGGTCAGCTGTATCAGTCCTGATAGTCTATCCAAAGACGATGATTCCATTCGTCAGGATGGTCAGAGCAACTTTTGCCAACCTCCATCAATTATGGCGCAGACGGAACAGCTTATCTGTCATTGGTAGAGTGTACAATATAACAGTGCGCTGGATACTGTTATCTGGTCAGAAACCTGGCCTTTAGTAGCTGAGGACGCCTTCAGTCTGTGACCATCCGTGTCTTCCTAGCATTGCCGAAATTTGGTGGGAATCCCGGATCAGTAATGCTTAGGTACATCGAGCAGTTTTCAAAACGAATAAATAATCCACAATAGGTGAACTGATCACTCTCCTTAGGTTGTGGTGGCTTGGTCACGTGTTCCCTATAGTAGTCGACTGATTTTCTGGAAGTGCGCATTTTGCACACCAACGCAAAGGCCAGAAATGAGCAAGTTAGGTTCAAGCAATGGTTTGACAGCGAGTTATGAAATCTGTTACCGGCAAATTAAGGGGGCTGGTTATTGTCGTCTATATGGATGGAGACCCCAAGACGGCTAAAGACATTGACATACATGATCCGTCCGCGCGCTCAGTGTTACGCATGCATCCAATTTGTTGCCTTCAATACATTAATTGTCCTCCCAATCTATTGAATGTAAAGCCCACTGGTACTCCTAGCTTCACGCGTTAATTAAAGCAGCTACTGTTTCCAACACGTAGCTACCGCCCTTCTCACTCGGACCATTGGTGAACGAAACTGTAGCTGCTGTAACCACTGTACAACATAGGCCTGGTCTGCGACTAATGATAATACTTGTACAGCACTGACTTCAATCAAGAAGCATATGTAGCGCTACAAGTTGTGGTCATACGTTGTGCATAGCGTGTTGTCGTCTACCGTAACAATTACTGCTACTACGAAAGGTCCAGTTGCTGTTGATGTGACGCAGTTTTCAAAATGGCGTCTGATCTACACTACTACTTGGATTGATATAGATGCCAGTCGACGCTAATGACGCCTTTGTCGCTTTCTGTTCTTATCGCAAGTATTTGGTGGTGTACGCACATTGTACTTCTGATGACGAGCCAACTATAGGTCGTTTTCCTCATCTCATGATAATTTTCTAAGTAAGGCTTTCTATAAATGAACTGCAGTCATTTGACGTTGGCACGCCGATGTAAGAATTGATAACGAGTAAGCATCCAACCTTTTAGAGCTCAACAACAACGGTCCTGTTGGATGTATTTGTCATGAAACAGGTGTGCTCTGATTATCTTTCAAGCTAGTCGTACACGGCGTACATGGCGAGACGGCTCAGTGGTTGGAGCAC